TTCACACGGTCCCTGCAGCAGAACCGGGCCGAAGCCCCGCAAAGGAATTCACGGTGGAGGCAGCTGTCTTGCCGCTTTGTGTCTTGCTTTCCCTAATTCCTACTTCTTTGCGTGTTTCGAAAAGGTATTTGAAATTACGGAGGGAGGATCAGACTGATTGAACAATTACTTTGGGTCATTTCATGCTTCGGATATGAAATAAGGTGACTTTATCAGCTGGTGTGTGGTAAAGCGTTAGGTTAGGATGTGTGTGTCCGAGCAGAGGTGGGAGATGTGCTGTTAGGCGTTCACTGTGCCGAAGAGTCCAGCCTTCCCCTGGGAGTGCGAGGCCAGGCCGCCAGCCTCGCTGGAATGCGGCGTACACAGCGTTAAATCAAGTCACATTGCTGGTACAAACCGGCCCTCTTTGAGCAGAGTGTGGTGGTGGTGCTTAGACAGCAACACAAGCTTCAGGATGAAGAAATAGTCTCTTAGATTTGAGAGAGAGAGCACTTTCCTTTTAAAAATCAGGCACCGCTTACCAAGACATCCAGGTGCCTTCCAAAAAGCCCAGTAAGCCAAGACCGGCAAGACAAGACCAAGTAAGATCTGTTTCTCACTGCTTACTGGGAGGCTGCACAAATTGTGTCCATGATGAGCTGGTAGGAAGTGACGTAGAGAAGATGTGGGGCAGTCCTGGAGCTTATTGGACTTTCTGCCAGTGGGGACAGGATAGAGATCTGGATAGAGGTCCTTCTGGCTTTGGGGTTTTTTTTAATATACAACTTGAAATAAAGCTAGGAGCATGTTGGCAAAACCTGACCTAGAGCAGTACAGCTGATTTTTAGTTATGAGGCAGGCCTGGTTTCACTGCAAATTTTGTCGGTAAAACAGAAAGGTTTTTCAGCCCAGAAAGACACTGACAAGATACACTGGCCAAGAAATGGCTTTGCTTAGGGTTTGTTGTTTTTTTTAATTGTGATCTCCATTTGGATACTTCCCATTCTGGCTTGTGCGTATCACAGCATACTGCTAGATTTTGCCAAACCACAGTTATTTGCAATGTTCCATTACTCTAGCATTTTTTTACCACGGGGAAAGTTCACAGATCTCTTTCAGTTCTGCCTGTCTGCTGACCTTTGGCTTCACAAGACGCTGGAAGACTGAAGCTTTTGGTGACTTGGCGGTAAGCGCAGACATACGCCCCGCAGTCAGATCTGTGGGAGCATTGAAGTAATGCAAATCTGAGCATGCTGTGTTTCAGTCAATAAAAGCAATGTACTTTCTTCCTTTGAAAACATGGAGAAAAGCCTAAATTGTTGTTTTAAGTACACCCTTTCTTCTCTTCTTGCTGCCTTAGGAGTTTTGCTCTGCCACAGTCCCGCTCGGTAATTGGCATACAAACTCCTCTTTGTGGAACATGGCCTTAGGTGGTAGATTTTTGATTTTTTATTTTTTTTTACTAGTGGAGGCAGCAATTTTGCTACATTTAGTCATAATAAAATTTCTCAGTGTTACTGGAAAAATGATTACCAAAGCTGCAGTAATATTGGTGCAGTGTTCAGTGCTCTATTGTCTCCACAATACCTACTGACTTTATTTTAATAAACTTTTGAAGATAGGTGCAATCAAATAAGTTTAAGTAACTCTAGGCTGTGGGGTTAGGGAGGATGTTGATATTAGAACCAGAATATTTTGGGGTTTATGCTCTCTTAAGGAGAACCAGGTACTTTTGGTTTTTTACTACCAAGTGATTGTTTTTAAGTGATATGGTTAGTTTTCCTCAAACACATTAAAATAACTTGATAATGTGCATTTTCTGAATGTAGGGACCAATAACTGATGAGGAAGAGTAAAAGGAGCTTATCCTATTTTGATAATTATTTAATATTCTGTAGTAATTTTTCACTATTTTAAGTCAATATTCCAGCAGAACAGAATGCCATAATTCTGCTCCCAGCTACAAAAATAAAGTTGTTTGTTCTCCAAACAGTGCTTCTCTGATGACTGAAGTAACAGAATCACTGTCTATGGAAATGATTTGTGCTTGAATACAACCACAGAGCAGAAATGGAAACAATGAATGTCAGGCTGCCTGAACTCCATGAACATTTGAACATGTAGGGACTCGAGCGTAATCATGGCAACACTGATGCCTCTTTTTTTCTCCTCGGTTTTATGCCCACTGGGTCCCACTCCAGCGCTTCGTCCTTGCACAACTTTGTGACTGCGATGGAGGTAGTGGAATTGGAACATGCAGGTTATGTGAGAGGTATCAGTCAGCCTTACTCAATGATCATTTTTTTAAAGCCTTTTGATTTAATGCGTTTAAAAAATGTGGCGTTTTTGAAGCAAAAGGCTGCTTACCTGATGCCTTGTATGCTTCTAACACAGAGTCAAAAGGCTGTAACATCAATCTTTGCAGAAAACTAGAATTTCCTCACTGCTTACAGTTATCCACTGTGCCATTATGACATAAAAAATAAAAAATAAAGGTACTGTAAAATAGATACAAATTATGCCTCTTGTATAATTGCTATTTGGGGTATTTAACATTTAAGTACGTGTATATCATGCATAAAGTACATAACTTTATATGCAGATGAAGTTTATGTGAAATACATAAAATATGAATCCACAGAGTGCCCATTGTTTTCAATTACATACTAATATTGAACTGTAAATGATTTCTAAAATACAATGTGCTGTAATATGGTGAGCTAGGAATTTCTGTTGTTTTCTTTAATTTTGAGGTGTATGTTTACATACTGGTGTGGGAATAGTAGGCCTTGATTTGAGCCAAAGTCAACAGAGGACGATCATACAAGCCCTTATTCAAGTAAATACCTTACTCTGAAGTGCTTCCAAAATTTCTGTTGATTTTAATGTAATCACTTACATAAGTACAGAAATACACCCACAGAATTAGTTTGCAACATCAAGGCAAACTAATGACAAATTAGACCTTTTCATCAGAAAAGGGCGATAAGGTATCTGACCTTTGATTTCAAATTCGTAGCAGCAGAAATTGTCTTCTTATTCTTCCTGGCTTGGAGAAGCTATTGGTTATAATCATATACCTCAGTAGAACAGCCAGGTGCTGTGACTCACTTCAAATCTGGAGATCTAAGGCAAGGAAGAAGCTTTAGTTCTGAGGTGACAGATGTGGAAGCTTGTTGAAGTGTCACTGTGGCGAGACTGGCCTGATCCTGCCAAGGAGTTGGTTCCAGCTGTTTTGGCCCTCACGAGGCTGCACAGCCTGCAGGCAAGGCAGAGATGTGTTATGGCAAGAGGGTGGAGAGGAGAGGGGAAATGGGAAGGTCCTGCTCTGTTGTTTGGCTCCTGAGTGCAAGCACCACAGAGCTGGTGTAAATGAGGGGCATTCCTGCACCAGTAGTCCTCTTCCTCTGATTACGTCTTCAGTATGTTTAAATCCTGCAGGTCGTGTCGGTTATGAGAATTTATCCGTAAGGGATCTGAGTAGTTTGGTGGACAGCACAATCAACAGCAGACCGATCACAAAGAATGCTGGCTTCTGAGAACATGATTCTAGACAGAATACAGGTCTAGAAAGAAGTTTAAACAAGTTGTTTTCCCTTTACAGAGAGAGAGGGAAAGGGAGAAGGCCAAGGATAGAGAAGGTCAGCGTCAGCTGCTCCAACCACAGTGAACTGCTGACTAATCATCTCAGACAAAGACTTTTAATGCTTAGGCTTTAATACTTAAAAACTTTCAAATACGGATTTCTGTAAACATACTTCTCTTGTTAAATTCATTTCTCATTCCATACAGATAACTCAGCTGAACCCAGCAATTCCAGAAAAATACCATTATGGGAAGCACGTGTCTATTTTATACCTCCAGAAGTCTCAAATATTTTACTTATGCTTTTCAGTTTTTGCTTTAAATCCGTAAAGGTTTATATTCTCAGATCATCTGAAGAAAATACTAACATTACCTTAGTAATCCTTTGCTTGAGTGCATTGTAAACTCTTAAACAAGCTACACGCCAAGTGCAATAGGACAGGTATAAGTGGTAAGATGGTGTAGCTGGTATCAATTAGCAATGATTGTATCAGCACTGCCTGCTTGCAGTGCTCTTCTCTGCCGAAGTGCAGGCAGGAATAAATCCACAAAAATAATCTATCCTGCTCATGCACCCCAAACACTAAACCTGCTGCTATCCTTTTGTTGTGCCTCAAGAATTTATTTGAGGGGTTGCAGCTGGTAGGTATGACAACAAAAAGATCATCTACCGCAGTTTATTCATTAACTCTTACTTGGAGACTTCTAAATGTTAATAATAAGCAAACTGCTTCAGGCCAGTGCTCCACCTAGCACAGTGTTCAGTCTCTAACAATAGCTCTAAGCAGATACCCAAGGAAGGAAAAGAGCTGCAATTACATATGATGCTACCTCCCCTGCTGTAGCTTCATGCTCTCCCAACCTCTGGCTATTTTCAGTTGTGAGAATTTCATGAGACTAAGAGTTTTTTCTGTGAACTATTCCACTCTTACAAGTGCTTGTCCAGTCTCTGTTGAACTTGCATAAACTCTTAGATAAATAATGTCATCCTTTGGCAAGCAGTTCCTCAGAAGTACCATCCCGTACATGTAGAACCACTCCTTTCATCTTGCTTTGACCCTGGGTGCCAGAAGGTCCACTTTATGGCCACCTAAGCCTGTCCTGGAAGAGACGTTCAACAACACAGCTCCTTCTCTCCAACTTTTCCATACCACTCATGAGTTTGTCAGCCTTTATCCAGTATTCCCCTCATCCTCAGCCCTTGAGTGTGTGAATGCTAGAGCTAAATACTCACTTTGCCCTCTCCCATATTTTAGCCAATGGCGGGACCTTCTCTTTTATTTCATGGCTTCTTAGTTTCCTTAAAACCTTCAGTAAAAGATGTTGTCAACAGCCTTAGTGAAATCCGTCAAGAATGCAGCAGTCACTCTTTTCTATGTGCTTATGAGGCAGCACTTCTATCTGCGGAAGCTGTGCTGGCTCTTCACATGCTTTCCTGTATCATAGTTCCTGCTGTTTTTTATGCTACAGAAGCAGGCTTTCTCGATTGCCACAGAATCGTTTTGTTTTATATTGTGTCACATTTGCTGCCCTCTTGTCTCCAAAACCAAGGAAGTTTGAAGTGCCTCATTACACACTGCCGCATTAGAGAACTCATCAGTGAGTGCCATTTAGTCTTAGTGCTATGCTCATGTTCATTCTGTCTTGGTAAGATCATCTTGACCCCTTCTATTGTTATTTCCAGTTTGGACAGATCCTCTGCTGAGCTCCCCAGAAAGGATTCCTGCATAAAATTCTCCCCGGTTTCCTCATCAATGAATGCTGATGCAAAAAACCTGACTTACCTTTTCTGTAACATCCATGTCTCCTCTGAGCACTCATGTTGTACCTTGGTCATCAACTGGCCCTTGAGACTTTCTAGCAGGCTTTTGCTCCAGTGCAAGAAGAATAATTTAGAGGTTTGATTCCTTTGTCTAGATGTTTCTCAAATTCTTTGTGGCCTATCTAATTGTATTTTTATGTTTATCAAAGTTCATGTTCCTTTCTGTTATCTTCTTTTGAATACCCTATAGGGTTTTGATACGGTTCAGACTGCCTCTTTGCTTCAAGTCTGGTATCCTTCAGCTGTCTCCTAGACATATGTAAGGATTTAATTCTTTTAGCTCCCTCTCCTAATTAGTTTGTAACAGACTACACATTGTTCCCTTACTGGAGTTCAGCACGACTATAGGGGGTTCTTTGGTCTTTGTTGCTCTTCGTAGAAATACTGTTTTTATAAAGTGGGGATTCCAGCATGAGATTCTGAACCAGATCTTGTACGTTGTTCCCCATCAAGCTGACGACTGCACTTGATCTTGAGGGCTCATTCTGTGAAAAATAATTCCATCTAGATAATACCATCTAAGAATATAGTCTGCTTCATGTAGTAACATGTCAATATACTGTTGTCAGTGGTACTGTCCTGGCTGGTGGTCTGACCCATAGACCCAATCCCATGTTCTTCCCAACTAGGCTTTGAATTTCAACCCACCTGGACTACCTGCTTCTCTCTGAGGTGGCTGGTTTGCTATGTTTAGAAATTATTTAGCCTCTCTACTATCTCGTCTTTGGACTAATGGCGTTATCCCTTTGCATTTACGGTCCCTCCTAACTCCTTCAGACCTAATGTAAAGAATCCAGCTGAGCAAGGAGTACGTATCAGGAGAAACAACCAGAAGAGTTGTGATCTCTCATCCCACTATTTCCGATATGGCAGGGACAAAACTGATCTTCTGCTGTATGCATGGGCAGTCATTGTGCTTAAACTGGGGTTGATTTTCATTTTCACCACATATTCTTTCAGTATCTGTTGCACACCTTTTATATCCCCCAAATACCAAATGAATGCTACACATCTCGTAGCAATTTACTGTTATTTTTTGAATCTAATGCTGAGACCTTGTACATGAACACGAGGAAGCCCACTGTAGTTTTCTTTAGACGTTTCACTGAAGATTAGTGCTTTGTGGTGAAATATAAAAATCCTTGGGCTTTCTGCAATTTCTGGAATTCTTTGAACTAATGCCTTTAAAGTAAATTTAAAAAAAGGCCTTTTCCCCTTAAAAGTGAATGGGGGGAGGGCTTTTGATGAAATTAATTGAAAGAGAGTTTGGTCTTTCAAGAGGAACTACTTTTTGAAGGGGAAACTTTGTTTTTAAAACAAGTTTTGTCTTCTGCTTTAAACCTCCTCAGACTCTATCATGGCTTTGCAATATCACAAAAATATTTTAAAAAGAAATCTTTTAGGGAAAAACCACTAACCAGGTTAGTGTAAAACACCTCAAGGATAGTATTACTTTATTTCTCCATAAGCTGGTCTCTGAAGGAGAGGAACAGGCAAAGGAGCATTGACTGGGAGAAGACCACGCAACTCTGTAAACAAAGTTTAAGCACTGGGTTTGCCAAACAAAAGCTTTCACTTGCAACAGACTCGGTTTTCAGTCATGCATTCCTAGCATTAGATAATTAGGTCAATATTTAGGCACCTAAATAAGTGCATCCTGGTATTTAGAAGTACCAGGAATTCCCACCCTGGATGGAGGATTCAAAAGCATTTCTGTTACTTTGCATCTTTTACATGGTTGTCTGCAGATGGATTTAGTTTCCTAATGCTAGATGTCAAGATCAAATATTTTGGGCAAAAATAAAAGTTAAAATATGTTAAATTAACACACACAAAAAAATGGTAATGTTGTAAAGTATTTAAACCCAACTGTGAGAATCCCCAGGGTTTTTTGTTACTACACATTCATCTGCTTAGTAACCCCTTCCTTTGTTGTGATGAGCGTTAGATGAGGACGCTTGCTGGGAAGTGGAAGATTCATTAAGAAACATGGGAACCATTTGCAGTTAGTTCTAAGAAATTATTTGGAAACACATTTTCTCTCCCTCTCTCTCTCACTCTCTCCAGTGAGTATAAGATTTTACATAAGCAGTGTCAGTTCACTCAAGGGAAAAAAAAGTCCTGCTTGTACCATAACACTGCAGACAGCGGCACACACTTTCACTTCATGCAGTCTCAGTTATCTGACCTAGCTGCTTCCTCTCTGAGCGTTGGGACATAGAGTAGGAGGCTGAACTAGGTGCTCTGAGTCACCTCTCAGAAGACCTCCCTCGCTCTTACTTGGTTGTATAGCAGTTCTGTGACTTACTCAAAGGTGGGTGCCAAAATAATTTGAGGAGAGGAAGATTTCTTATGCTGAAAAATAGTTAATTGAAGATGCCACATCACTTTTCCTGGATTCTACGAACTACTGCTAACTACCAGATTCAATAAATCAAACACAAAGAAAAGTACAGTCTTTTCCTTGAAATCCAGATAATGCCATGAAAGAGTAGGAGTAAGGGTGGTACAGAAAATATCATATGTTAGAAAAACAAAAGTAAAAGGGATTTGATTATGTCATGCCTGAAACTACCTCTTAGACATAGTATTAAGAAGTTAAACATGAGTTAGTCTTTCAGTCTGTCATCTGTCATATAGCTGTAGAGGCATACGCACACAAAATGTAGATATATTTTACTAGGAAGATTTTAATCTAGTATTGTTACAAGAAACAATTATGCGTACTAATCAGAAATACTGGGGATATATCTACGATAAAACATTCTGTCTTAATAAGTTTATTCAGTTTAATTGGTGATATTTTAGGGAAGCAGGTCTTTTTATAATCTTTTACCTGTGGATTCTATAAACACCCTAGCAAAATTAGAAGTATTAGAAACAAAAGAACTTGGGTCGTTTTTAATGTTAGGTGCGTAATATCTGCTCTGAGCACTCTCCACATTGTTGTGCTGACGGCAATCAAACATTAGTATCCAGAAAAATGTTAGGCTAAAGATAACTCAGTAAAGAAACACCACAGGAGAAGATTCGTATCGAGTTTTAATGACTGGCTTTTGGGGGGGGGGCTTCACTTGCTGCGACGGTGGCAGTGAGTCCCAGGGAAGGGAGCGGGGGGAGCTGCACTGCTGTGGGGATGCCCCGGGAGCACCCGCAGCTCTGCGTCCCTCCTCGAGGGTCTGTCGCTATTTACAGGCAAAAGTTCATCAGGCAGCTCCAAGGGCAATGGTGCCTACTAGTAGAAAATAGAAAAAAATAGAAAAGTAGAAAATACTCGTTGATTCCCCCATTGCCCCTAAAATAAATGAGGAAGAGCAGGACGGGGAGGAAGGTGCTTCTCTCTTGCCCTAAAAATTACAGTGATTGTGGCAGTGAGAAGCTAGGCCTGAAAGACAAAACATCAACAGCTGTGAAACCCACTCCAATAATTGTGAATTTGATTCACCTGGGACAGCAAGGGCCTTGTGATTCCCTGGCAAAAGGGCCATGGCTTCTGGCAGCAGCCTGTGTGGAAACGCCGGGGTGGAGGAAGGGTCACAGCCACCAGAGCGTCACCTCCTCCCCGTCAGCCTGCCTTGCTTGGCTCTCTGCATCCCTCTGCTCTTGCTGTCTGTCCCTGCCCCAGCCTCTTCTCTGTCAGTGCCAGGCAGCCTGGGGGCACAGACAGCGGCTGCCTGGGCGCTCCCAGGGAGGAGAGGCCCCGCAGGAGGGCCCTGGGGCCCTGCCGGGAGGTGACAAACCATCCCTGTGGTGGTCATTGCGCCCCCCCCC